CCTTCACCCACTTTTCGGTTGTCTGTCCCCCAGGGAGGAGGTCACATATAGTTCCTTGTAATCGGTTCCCTCTTTCCTACCCATTCTCCCTTTACCCTCCCTGTTTCGCCACTCACACCACTGGTCCTATAGGGCTCATCTGCCCTGGATTCCCTGTATTTTCAGTTCCTATCTGTACCAGTGTACATCCTCTGGTCTAGCCAGACTTGCAAGGTCGAATTCGAGTCATGGTAGTGGGAGCGGGGAGGAAACATTTAGGAACTAGAGGAAAGATGTATTTCTCATCGTTGTTACATCGCACCCTGACTGGCTCGTCTCCTCCCTGAGACCCCTCTACAAGGGGATCTCCAGTGGCCTACTAATGGGCTTTGGATCTCCACTCCGCACTCCCTCCATCATTCATTATGGTAAGATTTTTCGTTCTGATGATGCCTTATACCTGATCCCTTCAACACCTCGTGGATGCATAGGCTGGTGTGCTTCTTCCATGTGGGTTTTGTTGCTTCTGAGCTTGATGGCCGCTTGATTACCTTCAAGCCTTTAAGACCCCAGACACTATACTTTTTGATAGCCGGACACCATCAGCTTTCTTCGCCACATCTGTATTTTTTTTTAATGTAGGATATGTTTTATTTGTACTTTTTATTAGTTGGGATTTAATACATATTTCATTCCATATTTCAATCATGTCAAGTAGCATTGTACACTTGCTACCACAATCAGTTTCCAAACATCCTTTTTCTACATGGACTCCTTGACATTGTCTCCCTTTTGATTCTATATTACCCTTTTTATGTCCATGGGTTTTGCCCTGACATCACCCACTTCATTTGTCACTGGTGCGATTTGTGTATCCTCCTTTTCCTTTGTTAGATTTCCAGGTGTTTTTATTAATCTGTTCATATAGAGCCAACTGACAGTCTTGTTGATTCTTTTGGTTTTGTTTCATTTATTTCATTTATTTGTTTCATTTATTTCATTTTTATTATTTATTTTCTTGAGATGACTTTAGGCTTATTTTGTTGTTCTTTTTCTAATTGTTCTGAATGTTGGACTAGGTATTGATTTTGGTCCTTTCATCTCTTTTGATGTGTGGGTATTTATTGATATAAAATTCCCAGTGAGCACTGCTTCTCTTTGTTATTGTTCCCGATTTGATTACCCCCCCCCCAAAAAAAAAATCTTCTTGTTAACATTTTTTTCTGTTATTCTGTAGTTTTTAAGTAGGCTATTACTCAGTTTCCACATATTTTACTTTCCCCCTGATCTTCCTGTTGTTCGTTTCTAACTCCATAGTGCTGTGATCTGAGATGGTGCTCTGCAGGGCTTCGTGTGCACCGGAGAAGAAGACATACTGTGTTGCTGGGTACAGTGTTCTGGGCATGTCCTGGAGGACCAGGCAGAGCTCGCTCTGTTGTACACAGGGTTGCTATGAGTTGGAACCAGCTCACCAGCACCCAACAGCAAACAGCAATTACTGCAGAGCAGTCTGTTTCTCTCCTCAGTTCCCTTGGAGTTTGATTTATATATTTTGAGGCTCTTTCATTGGGTGCATAGATATTTATTTTGGCTCTGCCTTCTTGATCGATCGACCATTTAGTCATTATATAATATCCTTCCATGTCTCTTATGCTGGCTTTTGCCTTATAATCTAGCTTACCGAAATTAACAATGCCACTGTTGTTTTTTGGTTGCCATTTGCTGGATAGATTCCCCCCGCCCCCCCATTCTTTGACTTTAGTTTACTTTTGTCTTTGTGTTTAAGTTGTGTCTCTTACAAATATCCTTTTAATGGGTCCTATTTTCTTATTCAGTCTACTACTCTCTCAATTGGAAGATTTAATCCATGTATATTCAGTGTAAATTTATATAGGTATGAATTTACTGCTGTCATTTTGCTGTGAGAGTGAGTGTGTGTGGGGGTGGTGGTGGTGGTGCTGGTTTTCATTTTGTTTTATGGGAGTGCAGGACGAAGCTCGATGGTGGCTATCTGAGGGTATGTGTACTCTTGTCTCTACTTTTGTGTGTGCTTATAATTTTTCATAATAATAAAAGAGAATGGTAGGTAATGGTAGAACGGTAAACATTCATCAGCTTGTCATAAGCCCTGGGTGGCTGTTGTTTTAGGTCTTTAAACTGAGAGTGACATGCAGGGAGCTCTCCAGGCTTACTATGTGAAGCAACCCTCCCATTGCCATTGGGGAGACTCAGACTCAGTGACACTGAAGGACAGAATGGAGTCTACTGAGGGTATTTCAAGACTGTCAGCCTTTATGGGGATCCTATTGCTCCTGCTGAGTGGCTGATGTGTGTGAAGCATTGACTTTGCAGGTAGCGGCTGGGGCCTTAATCACTGCACCACCAGGGCTCACCTGTGAACTAAACTTGCTTATTGCTATTGAGGCGATGCCGACTCATAGTGACCCTATAAAACAGGGTAAAACTGCCCCTGTGAGTTTCTGAGACTGCAACTCATTATGGGAGTAGTGGCTGGTAGATTTGAACTGCTGATCCAGTATGTAACCACTGCTGCACGGGCTCCATGTGGAGTAAAGGGAACCTCCTACAGTGGCCCCAGAAGAGTTCCTTTATTGTTTATGGTCTTCTCTGTAAAACCTTGACCCACACATGGAAGAAGCACACCAGCCTGTGTGACCACGAGCTGTCGAAGGGATCAAGTATCAGGCATCAAAGAACAAAAAGTCATATCATTGTATATGAGGGTGAGTCCAGAGTGGAGACTCAAAGCCCATTGGTAGGCAACTGGACACCGCCTTACTGAAGGGTTGTGGGGAGGAGATGAGCCAGTCAGAGTGCAGGATAGCAACGATGAAACATATAACTTTCTTCTAGTTCTTAAATGCATGATCCCAATTCTACCTTACAAGTCTGGCTAGACCAGAGGATGTACACTGATACAGATAGGAACTGGAAACACAGGGAATCCAGGACAGATGACCCCTTCAGGACCAGTGCTGAGAGTGGCAATGCCTGGAGTGTGGAAGGAATGTGGGGTGGAAAGGGGGAATCAATTACAAGAATCTATGTATAACCTCCTCCCTGGGGGATGCACAACAGAGAAGTGGGCGAGGGGAGACGTAGGACAGTGTAAGACATGACAAAATAATAATAATTTATGAATTATGAAGGGTTCATGAGGGAGGGGGGAGTGAGAAGGGAGGGGGAAAATGAGGAGCTGATACAGATGTGTTGAGAATGATGAGGGCAACAAATGTACAAATGTGCTTGACACAGTGGATGGATGTATGGATTGTGATAAGAATTGTACGAGCCCCCAATAAAATGATTTAAAAACCCTTGCCCCTTCTTTGCACACTGAACGTTAATGATCTCGGGAGAGTTTATGTGCACTGGAGAAGAATGTGCCGCCCTGGCTGGCAGCTTCATCTTAGGGTGAGTTCGCTTTGGCGCTGCCTCCTCCTCTCTGAAAGGGTGTTTACTGCCTGTGAGGGAAGCCCTTCCAGGTCCAGCTTCTCTGTCTGTGGCCTGAGTCAGTTTGGGGCACTGGCCTCTGTGTGGTCAACAAGAGTTGATGTGAAGAACACCATGTTAAAGGGAAAGGGGAATCTTATGCACTGGTTGTTCTGCCTCCATTTCCCCCCCTGTTGTTAGCCTTCATTTCCTTCCTAACGATACCATCTGAGGGAATGCTGTCAGATGAGACATGAGCCGAGAAATACTTTCCTCTCCCTGGTTATGCTTTGTGGATTGTCTTCATATTTTTCACGTTCTGCATTTTCACTCTCCCGTTCCACTGTCACTGTCTCAGGTCCACCGGTCACTGTGCTGCTCTGACTGCAGCCCTGAGCTCTCAGTCCCTAGGGCTCCGCTCTCACTGGTGGTGTCTGAGCACTTCTGCAGCCAGCACTCGGAACTGGGTCCCTTTCCTTCCCCCATCTTTGGTGTCTAGCTCCACTCACCATCCTGTTTTGGGGGGACTTAGATCTGCTGCGCCGTTGGGGCTAAACTCCCAAATCTTTGTAGTCTTTATACTTTAATTTCTTACACCCCCCCAAAAGTCTGCAGGTACAGCTGAACAATGCTCAACCGTTCTCCGGTCCTCCCAGCCAGCTTGACCTCTCACGGTTCTAGTCTCGGCACTTTCTCCAGTTCAGTCTTTCTCCCGAAATCAGTATCGCTTTGATCTTGAGCATGCTTCGTTTTCTCAGTAGACCTTGGAAATTCTCCCAAGTTTCTGTGAACTTACATAAAAGTACTATTAATTCTATTCTTTAAAAAATATGGGCTGCATTTTTCTGCCCGATATTAATTACCTAGTAATAGACTTCATATAATTCATTTTTAAATGAATTATAGTTTTTGTTATCTGTAAACATATAACCACAAGAGATAGTGTAGACATACTCCTCAGATGGCATAAGCAGCAAGAGTAACAATAAACTAAAAGTCCGAGATAAACGTGTTGCCTTGTCTGAAATGAACTCTTTGGTCTCTTCTTTATTATATCCTATCCACACCAATTTCTTTCCGATATTGAGACATTGTTTCCAGATACATTTTGTCACTACTGTACTCTCGGAACATTATGATGATTTGTCCTGGGATATAGTAAACTGAGGGAGGTTCAAAAAGTTTGTAGACTTTTACTGCCATATTTTCATGAATCTTTTGAAGCCACTTCATAGAAACAAAATGTATACAATGCTACTTGATCTCTTAAATCGGCAAATTAAATCCCAATCTAGTTTTGCCTTGAATCTTAGACTTTTCCAACTCTCGTTTCTAGTGCTTGAAAATGACAGAAATTCATTTTATTGCCACTGCTATTGTGGGGAGTTTATAACAAGATACTTTGTGACACTTCTAGGAGAAGCTGGGTGTCAAAAGACAACAGCGATTCCATGCTGATGACACTGTCAGTGTTGCCCATTCTCCCACGGGTACATGGTGCCTGAGTCACCCTCTCCCCTGATTATTGTACGCTGTAACCTGGCTGCAACCTCTGCTCTGTGCTGCAGGAACACCCTGTGGAAGCGACTCCAGAATGCGGTCACTGCTCCCCTGGCCAGTACAATATCGTTCATCGACAGAGACGGCAACCTTGAGCTGCTAATGAGTCCTGATTTTCCATCCTGGGCAAGAGATCTCTGGATGTTTATCTTCAGTGACATTAAACTTCTCAACATTCCTCTGGTGGTGAATGATACAAGGTGCACGGGAAGCGTCTTTTGATGGGCGAGGGTGAAAGGCATAGCTTCACAGCAACGTGAGGACACTTGGTCAAGTATGATGAGACATAGGTTGTCAGCTTTAGAACCACACTGTAGTTGGTTGCTCTTTGGGGAGCCTAAAGGATGATGGCATTGCAATTACACGGGGCCACAGCTGACCTCCTCGGACTGCACAAGGCGTACGCAGGCCGCCATCTGCATCAGTCCTGCACTGATTCCTCTACAGTGCAGGCCAGACATTCCCCTACCTTCCCACTTACGTTACCAACCCCAGCACTTCCTGCTGCTCTGCTAGGTTTAATCATCCATTGCAATGGCCATTCATCTCATGGACTTTGGCCATATAATCAGGAGGACCATCCCCTGGAGAAGGACATGATGCTTGGTAAAGTCCTCAGTCGGCAGAAGAGAGGAAGACCCTCATGAAGATGCATTGACAAAGTGGCTGCAATCAGGGGACCAAACCCAACCACCACTGTGACGGTGATGCCAGACCAGCGGTTCTCTGCCCATGAGTCACAACTCCTTTAGAGGTTGAACGACCCTTTCACAGTGGTCACCTAAGACCATATTTCCGATGGTCTTAGGAGCCGTGACACCGCTCCTCTATCCGTGTTCAGGCGGGTCCGCCCACATACAGGGTCACCACAACATGAGGAGAACTATTAAAGGGTTGTGGCATTGGGAGTTTGAGAACTACCGTGCTAGACAGTGTTTCCTTCTGTTATACACAGAGTCCCCATGAGCCGGAACCGACCCAACATACGGATTTGGGCATTACAGCCCCCCAAAGGAGTTCACTACGGCTCTGAGAAATGCTTTGTTTCTTTCTTAGCCCTCCTGGGTTTCCCTGCCCTCAGAGCATCCCGCAGGGTTAAACGAGCCAGGCTCTTCTCACACCGCCGCGAGGCTGCATACAAGGAGAGCTTTTGGGTGTGTTTTCTTCTCCCTGCTCCTCAGTCTATGATGGGTACCCGCCAGCCTACCCTTGAGTCTCATCATATGACACATGCTTAACTGGTCTCATAGAAGCTTTCTGTCTGGACCTTGGAGGGCCTCTACTCTGGGCTCTAAGCTGTTTAAGAGCATCCGAGCAAATGGAGTTCAGTCGCCAGGAGAAATACTTACAAGATAAGATTCTACTGATGAACCGTGATAGAAGGAACTACTAGGGGAGCTGTGTCTCTCTACGCTGCCGAGGGAAGGGAAGAGGGGGTCTAGGTGAAGCAAGGTAGTACACTGGTGCAACGGCTAAGTCTTCAGTTGCCAACTGAAAGGTTGGGGTTTGCTGTAAGACTTGGTCACCTTCTCTCTTAAGGATTTCAGCCCAGGAAACCCTATGGGGGTGCTGCTCTGTCGCATGGGGTCGCTATGAGCAGAAACTGACTCAATGGCACCTAGCAACAGAGGACACTAGAACCCTAGTTTGGCCAGACTTGGGTGGTGACTTGTTTTTTCTGTGTGTTTGTGAGCAAAGGCATCACACGAAGGTAATCTCGTGGTTCCTCAGACAGAACCCCTCAGCCATGTGAAGCGTAGTAGACCACTGGGATCTTCTTGGAGTCACTGAAGTCCCTTGGCTTTAAGGGTTGAAGCGATGGTGTCAGTGACGGACCTTGTTCTGTCCTGAGTGACACACCACCACTGACCATATGCTTTGTCCTCCGGTGGCTCCTGCAGGTCTCAGAGTGAGATGTCCCACATTGTGGTGCAGAACAACATGAAGCTTTCAGACAACAGCGTCCCGTTCAGCTGGAGAATCAAGGACTACCTGGAGGAGCTGTGGGTCCAGGCTCAATACATCACCGATGCTGAAGGTGAGGCCACCTCCAGAGAGACTGATGGACAGACAGACAGGCAGGCAGACAGGCAAATCAGTCTTTTACTCACTGGAGACTGTCTTACAGTAAGCCAGTGACAACAAATGGCTGCTACACTGTGGTGTGCACTGGACGAAATAGGCTCCAGTAAGGGTCAGAGGTCCCATGGACAAGGGATTCTCTTGGATGGGTCTTAGCCATGTGGTGGCCAGGGAGGAGGTGAAGTGGGACATGGCCAACAGGAAGAGAGCCTGCTCCCCATTCCCTATCAAAGGCTCTGGCAAGGAGGTGACAGGACTGAGCAGCTGTTCCCAGTGGGACCTTTCTCAGCACCTTCTTCCCTCAAATGAGCTGTCGGAGAAACTGCTGACACACAGCCCGGACAGGGCACTTCACCCTGCCAGGCACCTGAACGCAGTCCTTCTGGGAAACACAATTATGACACAGCATTTTGGAAAAATCTCACTTCTTCTATACAGAATGACCTTAAAATGATCAACAGGTCAGAATACGTGGCAATGAGTTTATTTCCTAGGTAGGTAAGAACTCTGTCCCATCTTCTGAGTGTACCTGCTATTCCACTCGAACACTGCCTAAAGTATCTGGAAGGGACCCTCCCTTTCATTCTCCATAACGCCAGCCCGCTCACTCCTCTCTGAGGCCCGTCCTGACTCAGAGACCCCTGCTCCGTGAGCAAGAGCAGGGCAACCATGTCTGCTTTCCGTCGGCAGGACTGTCAGAGAAGCTAGTGGCGATCTTCCAGCAAACTCCTCTGGGCCGGTTTCTCGCTCGACTCGGTGGAGAGCAGCAGCAAACACTGCTCCAGTGGTACTTGAAGGACTTCCTGCTCTTGACCATGCGCGTGAGCACGGAGCAGGAGTTGCAGGTCAGTACCAAGTGGGGGATTAGTGTGACACCTGTGGCGTGTGGGCTGGATGCAAGACAGGGAAAGGGTTGTCTGTCGTGTAAACGCTGCTTGTTCTCCAGTTTCTCCAGCTGGCTCTGAGGTCCTGCATGGGCCAGCTGAGAGCGGTGGCAGCAAGGCCAGAGGACGAGGTGTCCCTGCCGTGGGTGCACCTTGCCTATCAGCACTTCAGGAGCCGGCTGCAGAACTTCTCTCGGATCCTGGCTGTCTGTCCGCAAATCCTAGACAGCCTGACAGAAGCAGTGGAGAGCCGCCGCCTGCCCGAGTATGAGATGGTAAGGCTCTTGTGGGCACATGGAGGAGCTTGGAGGCCAAGGGCTCAGCCTTCTTGAGTGGGAGGGTCCGACCCCACCCTGGGAATGGAAAACTTACGGGGTGTCCTCAGATACCGTTCAGTAGCATCTGGCTCATGGCGACTCCATGTGTGTGAACCTTTCAGCAGCAGACCGCCAGGCCTTACTTTCTTGGGACCTAGGGGGGGATGTGAACTGCTCACCTTCCAGTTCATAGCCCAGCACTTAACCATTTAGGCCACCCAGAGACAAGCTTATAGGGCCATGTCCCACAGGGAGACATCATGGGACACAGGTGTCAGTGTAGTCAGAGATGTTGGGAACATCACACAGCAGCTAACACGTGCTGTGTCCCAGGACAATGAGCAAGTCCGTTATGAGTCTGGAGCCGAGGACACTCTGGGCTAACAGCAGGGGCTCGGGGTTACAGGGCGGTTGGGGAAGGGGTACTCAGTCACTGCCTGTTCTCTGTCCATCTGTGCAGACGCTGGATGCGCTTGCAGCCATGGCCTGTGTTGAGCTGCTGACGAGGGACGCCCTACAGCCCACCCCCCAGGCCTGGCTGCAGACGGTGAAGGACCTGTCCACACCGCTGGAGTTGCTGTGTTCTGAGGTGCACATGCAAGGCAGCGGGAACGTGACCACAGCGCTCGTCAGGGAGCTCAGGTGAGGCCTGGGTGCCAGCCCCCACGAGCTCAGCACCCTGTAAGCAAGAGCAGCAGGCACAGCCAGGGAAAGGCTCTCCCTCCTCCCTCCCCCACACCAGCTCCTATGACCAGTGACATTCCATCAAAGAGCAGAGGCCCAGAGGAAGGGGAGGGCACATTCAGGCCAGGCAGTCAGCAGACCATGATGGCCCTGTGCCGTGACAGAAGGACACTCAGCCCAGACGGGAGGCGGAGAGGGATTAACAGTGCAACTGACTTCCTGGGAGATTATCCCTGAGACATGCTCTCAGCTGGGTCCGACCTGCTGGGGGAAAGGCCTGCAGCAGGTGGGTGGGGAGCACTGGGGGTGAAGGCAGAGGCATGTGCTGCTCAGTGCCCCCACGGGGCATGGAGACAGCATGTCAGGGGTTCCGGCCAGAGGCCAGTCCTCTCTACCATTGTCCCTCATTCCTCGGGTCCTGTTCTTTCTCTGAACTCCCTGCCTGGCTCCGGGGCTGTCCTCCCCTCTGTCAGTCTCAGGCGTTGTCCCCAGAACTGAGAGAGTGACCCCCTCTTTGCACAGGACCCAGTGGAACCGCATTTTTTCCATTTCCCTCTTCGTGGAGCACGTGCTCCTGGGGACCCAGAGCCAGATCCCGGAGCTGCACTCGCTGGTGATGGACTGTACTGCCTCCCTCAACAAGGTCGGTGCCTGGCCTTGTTCCACCTCATTCCTCAACCTGACTCTACGTGCATGCTCCCTCGTGGCTCTGGACGTGGCCATCTGGGAGCGCAGAGCAACGTGCTCTCGCCCCGAGCTGCCCGCTCCTTCCATGTTAAGTGTGTAATGACACGCCCTCTCTGGTTGTTCATCAGAGTGCATCGCTGAAGGGTCAGTTGCAGGCATAGGATGCCCTCCAGTTAAGTGTATGCAGAACGGGAACCAAGGGGGCAAGAAGATGCTTGGGAAGCCACTGGAAAGGAGGAGCAAACCCCACTGGGCCTTGGAGGGCGGCTCCCTGGAACTGTCAGCTCCCCTAGCTAGGAAACAGAGAGGCCTCTGCCCTCCCACACCCTTATAAAGCTGGTGATGGGACAGGACAGTGTCTCTGTAGGAAAGTCACCATGGGTGTAACTACCCTTCCCAGTGGTGACCTCCCAGAGCAAAAGGTGGACTCTACTCACTGCAACCTGTGAACACGACATGAGCGCACCAGCTAGCCCCTCAGTTCCGTCTTTCACCCCGAAGAGAAAAGCACAGACTGGTCATTCTCAGTAGCAAAGAATTGTAAGTCATAAAGTACTGATTAAGTTTAAAATCCACTGCTACCCACCATGTTTAGCAGAGTATCATACACATACACATAGACACATACACACCATTATACTGTGATAATTTCAAAAGGAGAAATCATTCAATAAACCTCAACCATCATGCCTATTTTGAAAAAAAGAAGATACTATGGGGAAAGTAGGAGAGAAGGGACTTTAGCTGATGAACATTCTGTCTGTGCGCCTTCCCCAAACCAAACCTACTGCCATCAACTCCATGGTGACTCACAGTGACCCTATAGGGTCGCACGGGGCTGCTCCAGAGTTTCCCAAACTGCAAACTGTCCATGCGAGCAGGCAGCCTCATCTTTCTAAAAGGAGCAGCTGATAGGTTTGAACCACCAACCTTGTACTTAACAGTCCAATGCTTAATACACTGTACTCCCAGGGCTCCTTCCCCTGGCATACATTATATAACCACCTTTATAACAAACATCAGGCCTAACCTCACAATCCCAGAAGCCTCCCCACAAATCCCACCCTTCTGTATGTTGCCGATGTGCATTTCTTAAAAAACAGCATTTCCACTTTCAAACTTATACCCTCGATTTACAACCTTCCAGTTTGTACATGCAGGAACGTTGGGTACAGAGTGGTCATTGAAAAATGCGTGCAAGCATTTTAAATGCACTGACTGTTGGCACTGTGGGTTCATCAGCGGGCGGGTGAAACGCAGCAGCCGCGCTGCAGGAGAACCGACGAGGCTGTTTGGTAAACTGTGGGGTAGCTCAGCTTTGTCCTGCAGGGCTGCTATGAGTCGGAACCTACTGGATCGCAGTGGGTTTAGGGAATAGTCAACAGTGGGCGTGCCATTGTAGCTGACGTGAATGAGGGGAAATGTCTACCAGGGAACAAGGCAAGCCCCCTGTAGGAGCCTGTGACAGAGTGCAATCCCGGCTATCAGGTGTAAAAAGAGGTGCACAAAACAACACATTGTTTGCCCTGGTATACATAGGGGGTAAAAGTAGCAATTTGGGAACAGCATGCCCGTCTCTGGATTTCGAGCAAACATGCCAATATCTCAAAATGGGGAGCAAGGAGGGCTCTAAAAGAACAAGGAGAGATAGTAAAAAAAAAAATCAGAAGTTGAGCATCTTAGTCCTCCCACGAAGCAGCAGGATCACACAGGAAGGGTATCCAACGGAAAAGAAACTGGAGAGAGAGAAACCCGCCTGCCCTGCCACCTCTGCCCTTTGCCGTTGTTGCTCATGAGCTCCCTCCTTGCTGTCTTTTCCGTTCAGTGTCTGCAAGGGAACTCTGACATCAAGACCTACAGGCCTTTTGCAGCGGTAATGAGTACTCTCTGTGAATGTAAGGAGCGGGCCAGCAAGACCCTCACCAGGTAGGTGTCTGGCTCAGGATCCAAAGAGGAGGATTCAGGTCTGTGTGCATTTTTCACTTTTCATGGTTGCCATGTCTTCGGGACTGACCCTACCCTTCTTGAGTCTAGGTTTGGGGTGCAGCCATGCCCCATTTGCCTGGGAGATGCACAAGATCCCGCCTGCCTGCCCTGTGACCACGTATACTGTAAAGGCTGCATCCAGTCCTGGCTCATCCCAGGGCAGATGAGATGTCCCTTGTGTTTAACTGACTTGCCAGACAACTTCTATCTGACTGTTTCCCAACAGCACAGGTAAACAAGTACCTTTTCTCCTAAGAAGGCTTTCCTTTATGTTTTTAAAAAGCAGTATTCAGAAATATAAACTCCATTTATCTTCTTACAGAAAAAAACCTGACTTCAGAGAGCTAACATAAGATCCTGTCACTTACAGATATCTTTCTAAACATCTAGAGTCTCAAAATTATTCTCTGCCCAAGATCTGCATTTGTAGATTTGGTGGGCAGCAAAATCAAAAGTGATGAACCAGAAAGTTATAAATTAAATAAAGCCATCCCAAGAGACCCAGTAAATGTAGACACAACTGGTTTATCCCTATAAGCTCATCCTCCTGGTGCAGAAGTGCCCCTCTTGTTCCATGGCCTGAGGGTAGAACCAGCCCTCCGGGCTAACTGCTTTGGACACCAAGTGGTTAGATTAGCTGGTGCTCTGTGGACTTAGCGTCCCCGCCCAGCTCTGCACCAGCTCTGCTTCCTGCCCCTCCTGCCCTCTGGTGTCTCCTGGAACTGGAGCACAGGGTGAGCCTCGTGGATGGGGTTCTCTGACACACCTTGGGGGCATCAAGGGTATTGCTGCCTAAACGATCCATGTGTTCCTGAGGGGAGATCAGCCTCTATTGTGTTGTGATGGTTTTGAAAACCAGTTCTAATCAAAGTAAAGAAACTTATCTTTTAAGATAGGGGGAAAAATGCCATCCAAATCCCAAGTCATCTGTATTGCAAACTGCAGACCCTGTGACCATGTTTTGCCCATTCCTAAGGGATGCCATCGAGAAGCACGCCCGGTTCCGGCACATGTGCAACAGTTTCTTTGTAGATGTGGTTTCCACCATGTGCTTCAAGGACAACACTCCCCCTCAGAGGGACGTCATCGAGGCCCTGCTGTCTCTACTCTTTGTTCAAAAGGAGCTCTTGCGAGAGGCCCCCCAGAGTAAGTTGCTTTCTTCTGACAGGCCTCACAACTCAGTCCTCCGCCTCATCTTTGTGTGTGTGAAGTGCACTGAGCTGCCTGTTTCTGTCTGGTTTAAGGACATTGTGAGCACACAAAATCTCTCTCCCCGTTTGATGACGTGGTGGATAAGACTCCTGTCATCCGCTCAGTGGTACTGAAACTGCTGTTGAAGTACAGGTAAGGGGACTCATGTCGAGAACTGCCTTGACTCTTTGCCCCACCTACCAATTATGGCTCTCCCTTTTATTTTCATAAATAGTAGCTAGCTCCTAACTCTGAGAAGTGTTTCAAGTGAGACCTCCTGGTTCACTTGTCTATGTATTAGTTGGGTGTTTTCACATGGAGACCAGTATCTTTAGCACAATAACAAGCGCCTATTTAGCAAAGGAAAAACAACATAATTGGGAAAGGCCCATGAAGTTCTGCAGTGTGCAGGAGCTCAGGAGTCAGGAAGCTGACATTCCCATCCTAGTTCTACAGCAGCCTGTTTTGTGACTTGAGACTAGAAACTTAGAATCTCTCACCCTCAATTTCCTAGATGTCCTCCCAGTTTTATTTCCACTCCTGATTTCCCTGATTCCATGAATTGGTAGAGAAGTCCCTAAGACCACCTGCCAAAGCTGGGCATTCTTGTGAAATTATATTTTAGGAAATTCTTTGAACACTTACATGAATTCACAAGTATTCGCTCAGAAGACCCTCGGTGTACGCATCCTGAATTCGGATTTGACAGCATAGACTTTGGAGTGTTGGGAAAACGCAAACACTGTAAAAGAAGTGCTTGCAGAAACAGCTCTTTTACGTCTCAACGCAAACTCAGATGAGTTTATATGGACATGCACACACAGATCCTTTTGGCATCTTTGTGGACATTTTGTTTCGCTTCTGTTCCGTCATTTGTGACATAGTCTGTTCAAACAGGACTCCTGAAGGATTTTGAAATAACCACAAATCTGTACTAGTGCTGAACTCACACACTTACTGGTTCTTTAAAATGGCTTACTGTGCTTCTCAGTCACTTGCAAGACAGGTAGGGAGAGCTGACTTGAGACCCGTAAAGAACCTCTTTTGGGGCTATGTGATTTGCATTCATTTTGATGTGCGAAGTCCATATGCTTGGATAGTGTGGTCTAGAGCAAAGAACTGGAGCTTGTGTCCAACTGCCCCCGGAGCATCCCCCGGGGGATGAAGTGGGAGAGGGAAACGCCGGAGCATCTTGCACAGCTGAGAAGTGTCCACGACGAACTGTCTTTGGGGTATTCTGTGCCTAGAATCATCTGATCTGCAAATAGAGTTTTACGTCCCCTCTGCCAGTGTAGATGCATTTGCTTTCTTTTGGTTCTCCAGCAGTTCTGTAATGGCTAAGACTTCCAACACAATAGTGAAGAAAAGTGTTTCTAAGGGATAACCTTGTCTGGTTCCAGTTCTCAAGAAGCATGCTTTCATTTCTTCTTATTGAGCGAAACGTTGGCCATTACTTTTGCATTTATGGCTTCATTATGACGAGGAATTTTCCATCTATCCCTATTTTGTGAAGTCCTTGTATCAGGAATGGATGTTCAACTCACTGACTATATTGCGTTGATTCTGATTCATAGAGACCCTACAGGCCAAGGTAAAACTGCTCCTGTGGGTTTCCAAAACAAACTCTTCAAGGGAGTAGAACGCCTCATCTTTCTCCCCCAGAGCAGCTAGTGGTTTCAAACTGTTGGCCTTGCAATTAGTAGACCATTGCACAACCACTATGCCATCAGGGCTTTTTGGAAGTGTTATGGGATTTTGTCAACTGTCTGTCTTTTCTGCAGCAATTGATGTGATCATGTAGTTCTTTTCCTTTGTTTTATTTATATGGAGGAGTACATCAATTGCTTTTCTAATGTTGTGCCATCCTTATATACCTCGTATGAATCCCATTTTATCATGATGTATTTTTCTTTTTTTAGTATTCTGTTGGATGCTAGTAGCTAGTGTTTCCACATTCATGTTCCTATGTGGTATTGGTCTAGCATTCTGTTCTGGTAATGTCTTGGTCTCATTGGGGAACGCTGCTTGGCTGCTGCTAGAAGAAAGTTGGAATTGACAGTCCTTTCACCATATTCGCGGATAATTTGAGTAGAATTGATGTCAGCTCTTCTCTGAATGTAGGGTAGAATTCCCTGGTGAAGCCATCAGGTCCTGGACTTTTTTGGGGTGTTGTTGGCTGTTTTTTAATGACTTGATCTATGAATGTGAACAGCTTCCAACACTTAGTACAGATGAAAGGACTCAACACAACAGGGATGTGTGGGTGCGTTTATAGTGACTCTTCAGGTACGGGTTACCTGTACCACATCCCTCTTTCCACAGCTTCCAGGAAATAAAAGATTATCTTCAGAAGTACTTGTCTACATTAGAAAAGAAAGTATTCCTCACTGAAGATAAAACTGAGCTTTACACACTCTTTATCAACTGCCTCGAGGTAAGGCCTCACTTCCCTGCATGTTTTTAGCCATCTCTCGGAACCACGTGATCTATCACATGGGGAGTGGTTCTGACAATGGGCACATGTCGTTTCAATCGGCAAAATTAACAGAAGCTCTGTTCCACTGGGAAAGAAGGTTTCAAAGACACTGCCCTCGGGAGTTGTCTCCATTGTCATCTGGGTGACCATGAGCAGACACAGCCTAGAAGTGACCCCACCAAGGGAACTAGCGGTGGTGTCTTGGGTGCCAAGACCACACATGTTTAATTTTTCTTCCCGTCATATTTTACTCATTTCCAAAAGTTCCTAGTGGAGATGAACTCAGTTAAATTTGACAAAGAATTTTCCTTGTAGTCCTCCTTTCCCAGTCTTGCCCCTAAAATAAGAAGGAATGTCAATTTTCCATGATTGGAAAAACATCACATTTACAGCCCGAACAATGTAGCTCTGTGTGTTTCCTCCCCTGCCCATCGATCTGCAGTCACACTGGCCATTGTAGAAGGGCTTACATCATTGAAAAGACTAACCCTCTTTCATTCTCACTCTGCTCCTCAGGATTCAATACATGAGAAAATCAGTGCTTTCTCTGAGAACGAGGAACTGAACTACCTACGAGAAGAGTGTCTTTTCCTTAAGTCTTATTCCCCATCAAGACGTGACCCAACTAAGGAGGCTTCCATTAAATACCTGCAGGAGATGGCTCGGGTGCGCCTCTGTCTGGACAGGGCTTCTGACTTCCTCTTTGAACTTCACACTGGCTCAGGCAAGTCTTGCTTCACCTTGGGCAAAAGTCCCCATTCCTTAGAAAGCCAGAATATGGGAAACTCCTTCTTAAAATAAGATTGCCCCTTACTCTGACCTCTTTCTTCTGGACTGCTTGTGCTGTAAACGAAGGCAGAATCCCCATACTCTTGAGCAGCTCCATGGCCAGGACGCTGGCTAATGCTTAGTCTCAGTCACCTGCACTCACCCACTCTCTCACTGCCCTCTCCAGAGATGGCTGAAGAAAAGCAGCATTATCTGCAGCACGTTGAGCACTTCTGTTCCCGAGCCAAGAACGACTGGTTCCGGGTGTACTTAGTGAGGAGGCTCACGAGCCAGCACACGATGGAGTTTGTGCAGAATCTCGCCCAACGGGGCCACCCGGCCCAGTGGGTGTTCCCCAAGGAAGTCATTACACAGCAGGTGAGCCGTGCTGCCCCAGAGTGTCACCCACCACTGCCCAGGAGGTGGTGCTGCAGTTCCTTCCTTCCTCCCCACACTCACTTTCTCCCTTAAGCAGTAGGGAGACAGGAGGGGCCTGGCCTGGCCCTTCTCTGTCCTTCACTGGATCTGACTCAGCTTGTGATGTCTAGACTGTCTGCCATCGTGAAGAGATGTGTGTGCCTGCGGGGTGGTAGGCGTGTGCCTGGGTTTCTGGCTTTGTCATCTACCTCTCTCCTGATCAAGTGAGACACTGGAGAACTGAATAAAAGAATCTTTCTATGGCCTTTGCTTTCGTCTGATTGAAAGTGATCCCCCTGCAGGATCTGCTCTGTTGGCCTTTGACAGGTGGGAGGGGAAAGAATGAGAACCAAGAAGAGCAATAAGCTTGGCCCAGGGCCTATGAGTGGCCTTCACGGGGGCTCTGGGATGAAGAAAGCCTGGCTGTCCAGGGTTATAGAACCAGCAGTAAAAATATGGATACTTTATTTTCTCTGGGACTGAACAGTGGCCCTCTGGTGCAATCCTTAATGAAGGAAAGTAGCTACAAGATCAGCAAGACCTTCTCGCCAGACATCCCCCCACTTCTCCCTCTACCTCTTATTGAGAAGGAAGCTCTTCCCAAAGACAGCACAGGGACCACCGCTCAGCCTCCTTGAAATCCCTCATGGTTACCTGGCTCCTTTCCCTCTACAAACAGTTCTTTGAAACACTTTCTCCTTCCCTGATTAAGCACTGTGTTACAGGCGGACTCTCCAGGCCAGCTGGACCGATTCCTTGTGTACGGCGATGGATACAAGACTCTTCGTGATGCGGTGGGCAGAGCCATCCTGGAGTGCAATCCCAAGGGCATGGCAGCTGCTCTGGAGGTAGGGCGGCTCCAGGTTTCTCTGGGGCACAAGACAGCCCTCCTCAGGGCCCACATCCGCCCGTGTCTGAGGGTGCAGTGGGGATGGAGAAGAGCAGAGCCCCACAGAGCAGCACACTCTAGCGGCAGTCACATGCCGTGACCGCCACAGCTGGAGTGGGCAGTGCTGGGAGCCTAGTCACTGAAACACGGCAGCAACAGCAGTTGAGTTGCTGGATGGACAGATTTACTGTTTGGCTGGTGGGCCAAGGCCATCAGGCCTTTTGGATCTGCATGTGCCCATTACTTCCTGTGGGGCCCTGCTGAAGAATTACTTCCTCCACACCTGTGTAGGCTCATAATTCTTGTCTCCATGCTCAAGGTGTGTTTAGTCTAATAACGCTACAGGGCTTTCAGATTTATCTTTAGAACATGCACGTTGACTTCCTTTTGAGTGCTGTTGGCCCTGGCATTTTGCTGGCAAGAGTGGAGATAGAAATCCTCTCCCTGCTCAGGAAAAGTATACACAAGTAGTGTGTTCTTCAGAAACAGGGCAAATAGTACTTCTGACACAGCTAACTGAAAAATATACTTTTAGGGGGCGGTGCATATTAGATGAAACTTGTAGTCCCAGAGATGCTGGTCCTGAAATGCAGGGTCCCAGGAGCCTGGGGCCTTTGGAAAGGTTTCCTCACTTTTCCCCTGGCTGGGAGTTGGTCCACATTTCATCTCATATTCATATATGGGTCACAGGAGATTACGAATGATCTGTATAAAATTTCAATTTCTCATGTCTTTGCTGTCTCAGGTCTTCAGGGAGCCTAAAACTCAGCATGAAGTCTACTTACTGCTAGCACTTTTCCGGGAACTCACGGTTTTGTACAGATCCCCAAATGCAAGCCTCCACCCGAAGCCTGAGGTGAGTATCAACATGCAGGGCTTGGGTTGGGTCTCATTATGTGGATAGAAGTAACAGTCACGGTAGACGTTTGCCCACATATTTTTATCTAGGATGTAGCGTTTCCACTCATGTTATGTACAGAGGTCCTTTCCCGTTGAACCAAAGCTTCTAGAGTTAAAGTCAAGAACATAAGGTGATGTTGCCCCCAAAACGGAGTCTAGAATTCAGGGCTGAAGTAAGTGGTACTACTTCAGTGTACCTGTTTATGAAAATTCTCTTCTCCAAAGAACTTCCCTTAAAAATGGCTGATCATCTAACCATAGTTGCTTTGAAATTTGATGTTTATTTGATTTTAGAATGCATAGCTAGCTTTGAGAAAATTTGAATTCTCTTAATAGTCTCTCTGATATGCTTTAATTAAAACAAAAACATTTTTCCTGTCAGCAATGTGAAGCTGTGAACAGATTCATAGAAGACACCAAGCCCTTTTCTCCTGAAGTTCGATGTTTTGCAACAGCCCTGGTGGCCAACACTCTGCCTCTGCTGACCACAGATAGCCATGAAGGGGGCCCTGAAGCAGCAGTAGCAGAGATGGCTGTCCATGCTGCAGCCATCCTTCTCTGTGTGCAGAACAAAGTCTTGGAACCCCTGAGGAACTTGGCCTTCTTCCCAGCCCACATGGCGGTAAGGCTTGGATGTGGATTATGCCGGCCTTCCCAGCCAAAATGGCAGTAGTTTGTCACTTTAGAGACTGTGCATAGGCATGCAGAGGCTGGACACCTTCCTCTTCTGCATTCTCATCCTGCCTTTTGTCTCATTTGATCTGTCAGTCCACAGCGAATGGCGGTTACATTTTCTCCACAGATAGCTTGCGAGGGCAGTGGGAAAGCAAACCAGAAGTTCACTTTCTTCTTTCTTCCAGACTTCTTACTGAACAGTATCAGCCAATCCGAAAGCCCGCTTAGCGAAATCTAGCTCGACTTCACTCATTCATTCACTCACTATTTATTGATTTATTTTCCTTCCAGAATGCTTTCCTTCCAACTATGCCTGAAGACTTGCTGGCTCAAGCTAGGAATTGGGGAGGTCTGACAGGAGTTCGCTGGTACAGTAAGTATGCTGGACTCACACCACCCTCAACTCTGAGGAGCGATGACATGCCCCATGAAGCACTCACTGACTGAGACTTGGGATCCACTGGCTTAGGAGGGAAGGTCCCATTCAGTTACCTTTCCTCCTGCTGCCTTTGGCAGCTTTGCGGAACCCGAGGGGCTTGCAGGAATTGATCGAAGGCATTTTTCACTGACGATGAGGAGCCCGCAGGATACACAGTTCCCTGGAATGAACATTAGGGAGCAGCCTGGCACCCGCATCAGAGGTTCTTTTAAGAACTAGAGTACAATACTGCTGACCAAAAGATAGGTCTCTCGAAGCACAAAACTGAGAGACAGAATAGTATAATTTTGATTTTATCAGAATTGTGTTACCTGGAATAAAAAATCTTTTTAACTAGGTTTAAAAGTGGTTTTCAAAACATGCTAAGAATAAACAAGCTAAATGATAATAGGCGAGCATGAAAGACTGCCTTTCCCAAAGTAACCCCTGGGATGAACTTCTAACTTACTTTCCCTTTGCTTTCTAAAATAACATTCAAAAACATATTTTAATAACACACATGGTTTTCAAGGACCTAGGTGTCAAATAACTGAAACCAGCTAACGAAGTAGTTGACAATTTCTGGAACTTTTATTTTTTAATTTTGGGGGGAAATTTTCTGAAGACATCCACCATACATTCCATTTGTTACCTTTCCCTGTTATACAGGTGCTAGGTGAAACCTCTCTAGCTAACATGTACCCTGTTCTTCTCACAGCTTGCCCCAATGGTCATCCGTGCTCTGTGGGAGAGGTGAGTCCACATGTCCCGGGAGGGTCTGGGCGCTCTAAGTGTGGGTTCCTCTGGTTCTGGGGAGGAGGTGGGAGAAAGCTGACTCATTCTGAGGACTGTCCCAGGTGTGCCCACCAAACAGCTAAGTGGTGCTAAGGTATCTGCACAGTGAGGTTTGGGGCAGCCATCACACCAGTCCAGGGTTTCCTCCATTAGCCCAGTGGGTGTTGGACTAGATGGTTCTTTATTGGGGCAATCCTTTATTCTATCTTGTGCACTGCAGAATGTTTAACAGCATCTCTGGCCTCGTGCCACTGGATGCCAGTAGTACACCTGTCCTCGCTCCAGTGAGACAACCAGAACCATGGCCATGACTGGACATCCTTTCTTGCTAGGGCAGCATGCGATCACAGGTCCTCAGAGAATGGCAAAGCGCTGACTGTCGGTTGTCTCACTCCCCGAGAAAGTTGATAGGGTGAAGACACTACAGGAAGGGTAGACTCGTAAGACCGTCAACCCCGAGGGGAAAGAGTGGGCATTCCTCGTAACCAAATCCCTCAGCATCTTGCCCAGGGCCCCTCCAGAGTGTCCGCTTGCTCAGCAACAACCTCCTGAAGTGACCGGGAGAAAGCTGTCTGATCAAGTCAACAGGGGAATGGAATACACGCACAGTTCAGCTTGTTGAGCTTCATGCGCTTCTGTGACCAGGATATAAGTGACTGAAATGGTTTCTTTCCAAGGTCTCTTCTAGCGCTAAAAAATCTGATAGCCTCAGAGTCTGTGACTGTTGGATCTATTATAGGCTGGGATCCATGCGTGCAGTAGCACGCAATCTGATTTGGGGGGAAATGAGCCTTTGGAAGCAGTAATCTTATGGTGGGATTTTTTTTCTTTTATAATAAAAATGTTCCATTAAAGTTAGGAAATTGGTTTGGAAGGTACTGTAGTAGTCCTAGTGTTAGAGGATGATGCTCTAGGGCAGCGATTCTCAAACCTCCCTTTGGGGGTCGAACAACCCTTTCACAGGGGTTGCCTAATACATCCTGCATATCAGATATTTGCATTATGATTCATAACAGTAGCAAAATTACAGTTATGAAGTAGCAACAAAAATAATTTTATGGTTGCGGGTCACCACAACATGAGCAACTGTATTAAAAGGTTGCGGCATTAGGAAGGTTGAGAACCACTGCTCTAGGGAACAGTGTGTTATGTGTACAAAAAGGAGAAAGTGAGGAATATGAGAAAGAAAGCTTGAGTTTATACATCTTTCTATAAATAGTCATTATTTGAATATAAAATATTTCCTGTTTAAAAAATGCAACTTTTCCAGTGACATGCATAATTTGCATGGAATATCAGCCCTATCCCACTATCTAATGTGAATTATATATAATCTAGAATAAGCAAACCTGGTGGCACTCCCTCCCTCCTGTGATAAGAATGTGTTCATTGACATGATAGATTTGTGCATGAAATGATATCAGCTCCAAAACGGAGTGTGACTCATATCTGTGTCTACCCCAGTGCGGCATGCCGATGCAGCAGAGCTATTGCATTGACTGTGGACTTCCAGTTGGAGGTGTTAATCACAGACCCCATGAAGGCTTTCATGTTATCACGTATGTAAGACTGTGGTCAAACTGTGGTCTTCTAAGTAGTTTCTATTCTAGCTGTAAAATGATAGTAAACATGACACATGTGGACTTGTGTACCAATGCCAAGGTCCCTGTGACCCTATACAGCCATGAGGTGTTTGATAAATCAGTAGTGACTGAGCTCGTAAGCCCAAAGAAACTTCAATTTTCGTACTTCAGTGCCTTCCATGTGACCCTGAGGCTTGCCCCCTGTAGAAATATGCTTGACATCAATGTTTCACCTAGTTCAAGGGAGAACATTTACATCGGGAAAACCAAAAGGTAGACATTCATTTATCTGAGGAAAATCTACCACTACTTGTGAGTTATCTTAGCTTTTCCAAATTTGGGTTTGGTTTTGGAAGGAGACACAGTCAATCTTGGCAAATATCAAATGTCAGAATCCAGATGAAAGTGTGATCTCATGATCATATTTGCTTATAATGGGGTGCTCCTGGGCTATTCTGCTGTGGTCACAGTTTTAATACTCTAACCCAGTCTCTCCATAAACTACCAGAGTGTCCTAACATCCCAGTATTTACACAACTGAATGCACTCATCAGACGGCATCTCCCCTCTGGCTGTGACACGGATGACGTGGGAAGCCACTGGACTTGGAAAAGCAGAAAATGTGTGCAGATCCCCAGATTGATATCTGAGGTTCCAGGCTCAAGCTGTCCTTAGCCTGCCTGCACCCCTCCCCGCCGCCATACACACAAGGATCCCAGTGGCAGCAGCAGATCCAGTCCCCCATCCTAACACCATCCAGGGGCAGCACAAACAGCCTCAAACGGACCACTTTACACTCGCAGTGCGGTGGGCTTTGGACCAGTCAGTACAACAAGGACATCAAGAAAGAAAAGCCTCTGGGAGTGTGGCCTGGACTTAGTAGATTAAGAAATGCTTCACATGCTTTTCTTCCAAACTGTGAACCTAGTCTCCTGTCCTCAGATTCTGATTGTTAATCCTCACCCTGTTTCCCCTTGTCCTTTCCAGAAGTGACGCAGACAGAACTCAGACTGGGCACGTGCTGGGGAGCCCTGCTAACAGACATGCGGTGGCAGTCTCTGACCGAGAGCTCTCCCCCGTGGTCTTCATTCTTCTCCGGCTGCTCACTCATTTGGCTCTGCTTTTGGGAGCTGCCCAAAGTCCCCAGGTATGGCCCGGCCCTGCCAACTATGGATTTACTCACATAGTATTGGGCTGTTCTAGGATTCCATACTGAATTCGCTTATCTAAAAAGTACTTATTGGCTCCTATGGATTTTTATTACTATAAAAAATGGCATGGGAATATCATCTGAGTGACCCTGGCTTCAGGCAGGGGAAAAAGAATCAACTCAGTATCATCCCATGGCCAATTCTTACAAGATGGAGGTCAGATTTACCTCCACCCTCCAAAATTTGGTACCAATTCTGACACCAACCATCCCTCCCACAGCACTCTATTTCTCTGATGGGTTCAATAGCTGATTGGGGTACCCACATAGAACTCATAAATTATACTCATGATTATAGAGTTTACTAGGAAAATAACAGGTTAAAATGCAAGACCAGACATGCCCAGGATACGGTCCTTCCGTTTCAACAGCTTCTTCTCAGCCATGGCAGCAGGCCTGCTTCTCTCTCCTTGGCCTCTGCCTTCTCAGGCAATACAGAGCTCTCTCAGCGCTGCTAATAAAGGAGCCCTAGTGGTGCTCATGGAAGACACTGTCAAGAGATCATATACTAGTGCATTAGATAAATCTGCTGCACTATACTCACCACCACTGAGTCAACCCTAATGCATTCCTGCAACCCTGTAAGACAGGAGAGAGCTGCTTCAGTGAGTTTCTGAGACTAATTATTTATGGGAGTAGAAAGCCCCATCTTTATCCCACAGAGCAGCTGGTAGTTTTGACCTGCCTAACCTCATGGATCTCAACCCAATGCATAACCACTATGCCACCAGGATTCTTTAAAGTGTTGAGGAGCAAGGATGTCGCTTTGAGGAGTAAGATGCACTTGATCCAAGCCATGGTATTTTCCATTGCCTTATATGCATGTGAAAGTTGAACACTGAATAAGGAAGACCAAAGAAGAATCAATGCATCTGAATCATGGTGCTGGCAAAAAATATTGAAAGTACCATGGACTGCTAAAAGGACACAGAAATCTGTCTCCGATGACGCACAGCCAGAGTGCTCCGTAGAATGGAGATGGTGAGACTTCTTGTCGGGGGCTTCTGTTCTGCTGCCCTCTACTTTACCAAGCATGACGTCCTTTTCCAGGGCCTCGTCTCTCCTGATAATGTATCCAAAATATGTGATAAGAAGTCTCATCATCCTCGGTTCTAAGGTGCACTCCGGCTGTATTTCGGCTGAGATGGATTTGTTTGTTCTTTTGGCGGTCCATACCTTCAATATTCTGCATCATATTTTTAATGCACTGATTCTTTGGTCTTCCTTATTCAGTGTCTAACTTTCAGATGCGTGAGGTGATGGAAAACACCCAGACTTGGGCCAGGCCCAACTGAGTCCTCCTCCAGTAACCTTACTTTTCAACTCTTTAAAGAGGTTTTGTGCAGTGGGTTTACCCAATGCAACGTGTCCTTTGATGTCTGCACTGCTGCTTCCATGAACATCGATTGGGGATGCAAGGATAAACTCCTGGCAATAGCAGTCTTTTGTTTATCATGTTAAACAACTTCTCCAGTTGTGAGGATTTTTGTGGCAAAACTGACCAATACCCATAGTTCCATACACACCTTATTTTCATGGTAGCACCTCATATGGATGCCAGGTACGTTATTCACATTATTAGCAAGCTATCCGATCCCATTGGTGGGCTACAAACACCTCCATTTGTATAGTCTTACCCAATCATTTGGGGGGTATTACAAAGGCTACTGTCTAGAAGGGCCATATCGAGTAATTTACTGTACTGCATTACCTAATCCATTCCTGGTGATGCAGAAGGTAAGTGCTGGGCTAACAACCAAAAGAATGACATTTGAACTCACCCAGTGTCTCCTCTTTAGAAAGGCCTATTGATATGCAACCATAAAGATTAAACTGAAAAACTAAAATCACTGCCATCGAGTCAACTCTAACCCCGTCGGACAGGGTAGAACTGCGCCTGTGAGTTTCTGAGACTGTAACTCGGGTATGGGAGTGGTGGTTTCAAACTGCTGACCATGTGTTTAGTAGCCCAATGCATAACCACTACACCACCACCGTAGAAAGTCCTAGATGAAACCAATAACAGAACAATCATCAACAAAACAACATAAAATTTACATCTCCTCATGTTTTCCACTATGGTATATGGAGATATAGGGGAACTACCCATCAGCTTATCTAAAAAACATTTAAAATGAACTATGTATGGCTTCAGTCCACACCTAGGAGTGGAGCGGCTGCTATATTCAGGATTTTACCCTGGTAGCTCTACAGAAAGGGGTCAGACTGCATTTCCTCTGAGTCAATACAACCTGGATAGTAAGTAGACGACTTTGAGAATTTTCCCCTCAAGTGTTTGCTCCACTCTTGCCCCAGCCATTGGCCATTGGTGTTGAATCACATAGACCATGCTCTGAATTTCATTTTGATGCCGCCTGAGAATGAACTTGCCATCTGGGTGATAAACAACATCTTCTTTACCATGAGTCTCACTGCTCCCGCAGGCCCTGCAACACATCATTAAGCCTCCAGTGAAGGACCCCAACACGTTTCTCCAGCAGCATATCCAGAAAGACTTGGAGCAGTTGACAAAGACCCTGGGCAAGAGCGCCGATGAGGTGGCCAACGTGGTGCACCTGATCCTGCGCAGCCTCCTCAGAGAGCATGAGTCCCACTCTGGGCAGAGTAAGGAAGATGCGAAGGGGTGTGTGGGCAGGGGATCGCTGGGCACAATTACGGAGAAACGAATGGAGTGGAGTGGAGAGTGGAGTGGAGTGGGGAATGGAGTGGAGTGGAATGGAATGGAATGGAATGGAATGGAATGGAATGGAATGGAATGGAAGCTCCTGGAAGGTGACACACAGTCGGAAAGTCCTCACTTGCCAGAGGACTCACGGGGCTGTGTCCTTCCCATTTACTCACATGTCTGACAGAGCCCTGCAGCCTTCAGGAAGCTTGCACAGTGTGAAATGTAAGGTCGCCTTTCCATTTCCTTTACTGACTCTAATGAGAACACTGGAATTGGAATTCAGTGGCAGAATTCTCATAGGAGACCAAAGTTCAATTCCAGGCTGCCCGTCAGAGCAGGCTTGATGTTGCTTTGAACGGTTTTCAGTAGAGCAGCCCAGCTAAAACAGAGTAGAGAGACCTTATGAAGCACAGTGGTCCGATCCGATCGTGTATTGGGTCAGTGAGAGTTGGGGCTGGCTCACTGGCAGCAAACAATGACCCTGGGAACACGTATCCTCCAAAACAGGCAATGTGTGTCAAAAATTCCACCCCATTAAGGAAATGAATGTTGACACTCACTGGGGGGGTTGTATTCATACATGTGTCCTATGTTTGAGGTAGCTTCTGCTTGTCATCAAACTAGTAGAAGACTGGCCTAACATGATTAGCCATTCATAATTTGGAAAGGGGCTGGGTACAAAATATTATCACTGAGCTAATTTTCCCATTTTAAAAAGTAAAAGCCACACAGAAAGAAAAGGTATGTAATAAAATTCAGTCAAATGGTGACTGCAAGGAGCTCTGGTGATCCAGGGGATTAAACACGGGTGTGCTAACAGGAGTGTCAGCGATTTGAACCCAACAGTCGTTGCACAGAGTAAGGACGAGGCCCTCGGCTTCCGTCGAGATTGCGTCCTCAGAAGCCGACGACGGGACACGTCCTCTGTCCTTTGGAGACAGTGTGAGTCGGGACTGACTTGAAGGCAATGGGTTTCCTTTGGGGTTTTCTTAATGGGAGAATTAAGTACAGTTTTCATCTCTCTCATTTCTCTTTTAAAGGTGTCATTGTGACGACAATGTCATTTAAAACAATCTAACATACTAACAGGAAGTAAAAGCCCCGTCACACGAGGAGAAGCTCTGTTTCTACTTCAGCTGCTCCCTTTCCAGAAGTAGCATCGTTCTAGAGTTCACATTGATCGAGCCCTGACTTTAGTCTGAGCCTCGCCTCTGGTGGGACTTCAAAGGAGGCCAGCTCGTCCGGTGTCACAGGGACTTAAGTGACTGAGTCTGGGAAGCATGCCCACAGTGTCTGCAGCATCCTGCATCCCTACAAGCATAGTAGGGCCACATATGTATGTCCCAGCTCAATGGCAGCAGCTAGGATGGGATGGCCACCATTATGTCCTGGGTTTGCCTTGTAATCCCTGTCCTTAGTGCCATTTTGGTCAGAACAGCTTTAAAGCCATGACTACCTGGGCTGGGGAAATTTTAGAGACTGAAGTATTGTCACAAAAATCATTACGTTGCTGGTAGCAGCTGGCACCATTTGAAAGTACTTTGGTTAATTTAGGAAAGGACTCACCACTCCAAAACGGAACATCATTTCAATGTCCTGCTTATTTGCGGTGTGAAATCAGTAGCCCACCCGTGCGCTTTTCTTTGTAGGCCTTTTACACTTTGATGCAAGACTGCCAACCAAGAAGATGAGAAACAATTGGGAAAACGTTGTTAAAGAGAGAATTCTATCTGAGCTGGAGGTAGGTGATAAAGACCACCTGGCTACTTTCCCTAGGAAAGGGGCTGCTATCTGGGCACCCAGCAGCTCTGTTTGCCTTCTGATTTGGGTGTTCTCTGACTAGGGTCACTCCATCCCCTGGCGTACCTAACTCAGCTCACTTCCTGGGGCGTAAGCGAGCCAGATAAGAGAACTGCTAGGTCAGTTCTGTTTCCATTACATTGGACAGTAGAAGGGTGACCATAGAGGGGGAGAGACAGACCATCATGTGAATGCCCATCACAAGCACACTACTATGAAGGCATGAATTATTCCTTGCTAGAGAAGAATATTATCAACAGTAACTAAGTCCACCAGCAAATAGAAGCCAGTAACTAAGTCCATCAGCAAACAGAAGCCAGCAGTAAAAGAATGGGTACAGAAATACAGGCCCCATTCTGTGGGGAGATAGAATCTTACAAATGAAGACAACAAACAGGATATTTGATTACGTACTTTAAGCAGACAGACTCCTCAGTGCATCAGCAAAGTCAACAGGAATCCTAGTCTGCTTATGGTAGTAGCTTCCAGAATTCTACTTCCTGTTCTTCCAGCATCTAGATCAGACACTGCAGACTGTGAATACTCGCATCAGCCAAGATGAACGCATCAGCTCCAACCCTGTGGCCAAGATCATCTATGGTGACCCGGCGACCTTCCTGTGCCACCTGCCCCAGAAGAGTGCCGTCCACTGTTCTAAGATCTGGAGCTGCCGAAAAAGGATCACAGTCGAACACCTGCAGCACATAGTGGAGCAGAAGAACGGCAAGGACGCCGTGCCCGTCCTCTGGCAGTTCCTACAGAAGGTAAGCCCCGTGGGAGCCTGTGTGTCCACACAGGTGTCTCCTGGAGGGCGACCTGAAGGCCCCAGGCTCTTCTTTAATTCTACTCGTAAAAACAGAACATCTAACAGATGTCTTCAGTGCTTTCACTGAAAGAGAATTCCGTCGCAGCTGATCTTGGAGTAGAGTAGAAATCTTACCCCCACCCCCCCAAAAAATTATACAGAAGTCTAGAAGCATAAAGTCACTGCTAGCATCTAGACCATGTTGGAATTTGTAATAGCCCAGGAATGGAAGGCAGCACACAACTGCAACAACGGACGGAAACACACCAATGAGTCTGAGGAGGGGGCAGAAATCGGCCAGGATCTGTTATGATGTATAAAGTGGAAGCCAATTGAACACCTAGCAACAAGACTATTATCGTAACTCCCCAATCATTCATAAGAAATTTCCCTGATCACTGCAGAGGTGTGGAACACACCTACCAGAGGCTGGTCACCTGCCAGTGCCTGTTGAATCGATTTTAAAACTAAATTAAAATTCTCTAGCCCAAATCAAACAAATAAAGTGTGTCCCTTGTTCCTCACCCATCTAGGCTGAGGTTGAAGGGTTGACAGCAGAATGAGTGAGTGTGTACTAGCAGTGGTAGAGTTAGGGGTTGGAATTAGAAATCCACAGTTTCTAATGTAAATTCATTTGCTCTTTTACGTTCTACAATATATTTTTCAGTCATTTCTCTCCATGGGCTAGTATATACTGTCCAGCAAGGATTAAGATGATTCACAAGTTTCTGCTAGTCAGTTACAGAAATGTAATCAATACTAGGAAAGGCTTCCTATTAATAGTGGGACATCGCACTAATATGCACCAAACCAAAACTCATCGAGTCCATTCCTGCCCCAGCAACCCTCAAGGGTTGAACTGCCCCTGTGGGTTTTCAAGGCTGTAACTGTTTACGGGAATAGAAAGCCTCATCTTTCTCCTGCACGAGTGTGCACGGTTAGTCCATTGAAAGCGTTAACATGTTAGGTCTTCAATACAACATCCAGGAATACTTCCGCCCACTACTGTACCATTTCTTGGCCTTCTTGCTTTCAACAGTTTCTCTCCATCCCCAACTGAACCCCCATCTGGCAAACTCATTGATAGGTGCGCGCCAAGAGGCAGCAAGTCAGCTCTGCTAAGGCCAAGAGCGGTGTTTCACACTTTGCGAGCAGTCAGTAGATACCCTGTTTCCCTGAAAATAAGACAGTGTCTTATATTACTTTTTGCTCCCAAAGATGCACTAGGTCTTATTTTCAGGGGATGTCTTACTTTTCCATGAAGAATACGGTACACATTTATTGTCGATATTATTATCCAGGAGGTCTTATTTTCAGGGAGGTCATATTGTTGGGGGATGCCTTCCTTATATTTCAGCAAGAGGCAAAACTAAGTCGGTCTTATTTTCGGGGGGGGTCTTACTTTCGGGGAAACACGGTAGTTGCCAGAAGAGTAATTTGACCTGCTCTCCATTCCCAACCCCTAGAATGTGTCATTATGTCAGAAGGCACATTGATGGATTAACCCTACTCCAAGTCCTGAGCCAGCCCCCAAAGATGTTTCCCAGTATCATGTTCTAGGTGCGTCAAGTGTCACCGGGTGATCTTCCCTTCCCAGGAAGCAGAACTGAGACTGGTGAGATTCTTGCCTGAAATTTTGGCCCTGCAAAGAAACCTAGTGAAGCGATTCCAGAATGTTCCGGAAGTTGAATACGGATCCCTCAGGAATTTTATTGACAGTCACAATTCAGGTATGACACTGCTCTGGGAAGAGATTAGGATTGTGTTGGGCGACTCAAGGGAACCCCCCAACTGGGACAGACTGCCAGGCACACTCTGCTCCCTCAGCTTCCACCAAGAGCCAAAGGGTTCCACGAGTCCCCAAACACATTAGCAGCTACCTTTGCGGCTGAAAAGCACTTCCCTCTTTCTTGATCCTCAAACTTGACTCTCGTGTTAAAGCCACATTTTAACGGCGTGGTGATGACACGGAGATGCCCAGTTGGCTCTGGCCAAAGAGAGTGCCATCGTGGGTGAGCCGTTGGGTCCCCTCTGCCATGACCAGGGCTTTGAGTGATTTGCTAACACGCAGAGTGCATTGGGCAGTGGGTGCTCTCAGACGCAGTTAGGTGAACAGTTATCATCCGGTCCCTCAATCTCCCTTAGGGTCCATTTAAATGTGTCCCAGTTTTTAACGTTTCCTACTTTTTTATTGAGGTTTTTATCTATTTTACTTTGTTATTCTTCTTAGCTTTTGGGTTTTTGTTGTGGTTGTGGTTATTTCTTTAAATCATTTTATTGGGGGCTTGTACAACTCTTATCCCAATCCATCCATCCATCCATTGTGTCAAGCACACATCGTTCTCAAAACATTTGCTTTCTACTTGAGCCCTTGGTATCAGCTCATTTTCCCCCCTCCCTCATGTACCCTTGATAATTTATAAATTATTATTTTGTCATATCTTACACTGTCCCATGTCTACCTTCACCCACTTTTCTGTTGTCTATCCCCCAGGGAGGGGGTTATATGTAGATCCTTATCATAGGTTCCCCCTTTCTACCCCACCTTCCCTGCACG